GAAAGAAATATAATTGTAGTAAGGAAAAAAGAAGTTTTGATATTTTGTGTTAAGTTTGTCGAATCGGAATAGAATTGATTTCACTTCCGGCATTCTACATACAGTAACTCTATATAGATTCTATTTTCTCATTTGTTATATTTCATTTTCATATCATTAGATCACTTGAGACTAAGGTAGATTTTATTGAACTACATACTGAAGTTATTTTAAAATGTATCATTTTGAAGATATGATGGAATAACAAAGAAATGTCTTGAATAATCAATAGCATTGATAAAAAAGATTTTATTAAATAAAGAAAAACAATAGAATCATTCAATGATACATTTAGACAATATGTTACTTAACATAAGATGATGGGCGTAGGCGTGAGTCCTATTTCAATCGCACATTCTCAGTCTTTTCCTATTCACTCATTCTAGGATAATTGTAGTTATTCTTATGAAAATCGATTGATAAGTAGAGACGAGTTCGATTAAGTTTGAAACTTAGATTCTCTTCAAACTTGTTATTTCTTATCGATTTGAAAGAGAAGAAAAAAGATTCGAAGAGATCTCGCTCACTGATATGCTGTAAAAAAGATCGAAAGGAAAAATATTCATCTAACAAGGCATACATTATTTTTGATCTTAAAAGTGTGAGTTTTATTATCCATTTCCAACTATATAATGTGCTTCACTGTGTTTTGAATACATTTTGATACGAATATTATAGGGACCTGTACTTCTCACCATTCAAAAGCAAAGACTCGGAGTTATCGAAATTTTCTTTCAATCTACGCAAAACTGATACTCCCAGCTTGTTTTGTTTAAGAGTTATTAGACTTGTCTTGAAACTCCCAATTTCAGCAAATCAATGTGCAATTATCAGAGAAACTTGCTAGGCAGAAATAACTCACCATGCTAAGCCGAATAGTGATATTTATTTTTTGGTATGAAATGATCCGACTCTTTTATCTCGATATTTCTGAAATTCCATAATCAGTCTTCACAATTCGAACCTAAAAACAAATATCACTATTTGACTCAGCATGGTGAATTATCTCTGTCTAGCCACTCTTTCTGGTGATTGCAGGCCAATTTTTTGAAATCGTGAGTCTCTGGAAAAGTCTAATAACTTTTGAATGGAACAAACTAAGAATCTTAGTCTTGCCTAGATCGAAAGAAAATTTCGATAGCCTCGGGTCTTCCTTCTTGTATGGTGGAAACTGTAGATTTCTATAATGTTTCTATTAACAGTTATTAAAAAACCAGTGAAACATACTATATTTGGAAACGTCTACTCGAACCCGCACACATCCTGGAGACATCACTTCTTTTTATGTTTTTCGTGTTCTGACATTTTTTTTCCTTCCGGGTTTTCTGCTGTCAACCGATATACTGCTGTTGTCTTATCTTTGCGTTAATCAAATTAATCTAAAATTCTATAATTTTGTTTTTATGTTTAGACTCCAAGCGTTCGACAATTCGTCGTAAAAAAATTACAATTCGTAAATCAACCAGATCAAAAGAATTCTCAACAATTAATAATAATAATAATAATAATAATAATAACAATGCATCAAATGATGATATCATTAATCTTGATATACATCAACGAAAACGACAATCAAATGATTCGATTATTCCATTAGCAACTGATCTTGAATCTTTACCTGGACATAATCAAGATGAATCACGTGATAAACGTTTTCTTGATTATACCGATTTCAATACATTATCATTACATTTTAATACATGTTTATATATTGATAAAAAATCATTTTCATCATCATATTTAACTAAACAACATATATTTAAAACACGTCATAATGTATTAAATAAAATTTTTAAATTATATTATATAAAAACATATGAAAATGATGTCAAAATTGATCAAAACATATTTATCGATAAAAATCAAGAAACAAAATCAAATTCTTCATTATCAACATCAATATCATTTCAAACTGATTGGTCTGTTAATCGTCGAAATTCATCATCATATCGACGTGAACCAAAAAATATGTTTCATATTTTACAATTAAGTCCAAAAAAAGATTTATCTCTATCAACAAATAATAAATCAACAACGAAATTATCAATTGAACATCAACAATATATAGATTATGAACATATTAAAGATCTTTTAGTACGTACATATTATCCACATTTTCATACAGCTGTTCAATCTGGACATTATTTTGGTTCGAAATCAAAATTACCAATAAAACATGATTTACCAATATTTACTAATCCTGAATCACCTATAGATACAAATGAAACAATTGCAATTACACTTAAATCACCACCATCTACTACAGAACCTGAATTTAAAACACGTGGACGTAAACCAAAATATAAAAAACTAAAAGATAAACCATTACCCATAACATCTGTCGAACGTCGTGTAAGTGAAGAAATTCCACCAGTTGTTATCAAAGAATCAATGATTGTTTTAACACCAACTGAAATACCATCACTACCAATCGTAGAAAATGAAATGGATAATAATACTAATAATAATCGAAAACGAAAAATATCAACTACAATTAATTCAAATATAAATGACAGACAAAAGAGAAAATTTGTACCATCACCATCACCAGAATTTAATAATGAATATCAAGATATTGCACATTCTGACAGGTAATATACAAAATCCATATGATCTATAGAATTTGATCTTTTTTTTTTCTTTTCAAATAATATTCGAAGATCGAGCGAAAAAAAAAATTCTTATATGGCGTATTAATTGTGCCATCCATAAACATGTACAAAATTAAACTATTTTTCGATCTCAGTTCATGATAGCGATTTCAATTAGAGCTCAGCACAAGAAGGAACTAAAATTTTTGTCCTATCTTGTCGCATGATAGTGGACTATACACTGTGATACCGAGAAGTACACATTTTGACCAAACGACAGTTTGTAGGATCCTATTCAGCGAGACGATGTAGTGCTAAACAGTATGAATTTAGATCGTCCCATAGTTATAGCGTTCTGCTCGGCAAATTGTATTTCAAAATATTGCATTGTACGTCAGTAGACGAAAACTAGTATAAGAATTTCATAGTTGAAATACTTCCGTTAAAGCCATTTTGTTGTTTAATCAGTGGTTATGTTATCGAACAAACTACTCGAAGATCCACAATATCACAGGAGAGTTAGTATGAGTATATATTCGTGTTCAATAGACTATGCCATTTTGTTGAGCAGTAAGGATCGCACAAAACTATTCATACGAATAAGACTTTATGGGTATTAATGATCTATAGAGACAACTCAAAGTGGCTGAGTTCGTATCTGCTTTGGCCAGTACCTTTCGACAAGACAAAACACATCATTCATGCTGTATTTTTATCTGTTTCACTATGAGCCAATTGAAGTAACGCTCTTATCCATAAATGAACAGTCAATGACATGTGTAAGACTAGTCTATTCAGTTAAAACAAATAAGATATTGAGAATGAGAGAATAGAAAAATAAAAATAATGATCACAAGATTACTGTAAAAAATATACTAGTTTGCTTTATATTTGAGTATGGGTATTAACCAACAAATGACCCATTAATAATATTTAACAAAAGTCAACACGAACAATTTTAGTTCTCATCTTGTACAATGCTACGCCAATTTCTCTGATATCAGCTACACGATATATTCTTTGTATTGTTTTTAGATGAATTATTATATAAGAAGATATTCATGTTATTTAAAAGTAAAGTATAATAAATAGACAAAAAGATATCTGATAATTTTATGTCTATTTTCCAGAATAGAAAACGAAAATAGAAACGTTATCTGTTCTGTCGCATAGGATGCAGAACAGAAAAGGCCTGTTTTGTACTTACCTCTGACTGCAATATAACTCTTGATCATTAGCTCAAATATAAGGCTCA